TCAAATGCTTGGCAAGATTCTGAACATCTGAGGGGCCCTGACCATTTTCCCTCATTTTCCCTACCCATGGTAATATTGGTCAGTGTATTTAACATTAACTTCCAAGAGTCTTCTTGGAAGGACCTCTCCCAAAACTTATATATCATAATAAAAGTTCAGAGCTCAGAAAGATCTTCAAGGTCATCCAGTCCCCACACAACTAATAATATCACCTGACTCATATCCAAGCTGCTCTCATCTTGTGATCTATTTCCTGTCTGTTCAGGAGATTCAGGTGCCAGGAACAGTTTCTGGGCTCAATCAGAGAAATGCTCACATACCACTTGCCAAAAATAAGTCAGCTGTCTGAGAACACCCCATGCACAGCCCCAGCATACAGGGCAGACAGAAAGAAGGGGAAGAAAAGCTGTAATTCCAAGATTGGAGCAGAGAAAAACTCCCACACACAACAGGACCAGAAGTGGTCTGACCCTCCCCAGCTGTGCCACACTGCTATATCCTCAACTTCTCAAGCCTTTCCTGAAAGCTAACTTTTGCACCAATATTCCCCTCCACTAGAGCTCAAGAGTGGAGAAAAAGTTAAGCCCATTTATATCATGCTGAAGTATTTATTCCCCAAGGGAGTTTGATTTTAAATGATGGAAACATTTTCACATCTTTCAAAGTATCATAAAACTGAAAAGCTTTGTAAAATACTTTCTGGTAGTATGGTTAGTAAGGGCTTTTAGGCAGCACACAAGACTTGGAGCAGTAAGTGAGATAATGCATATAAAGGCCTTACTCTAGTGCCTGGCACAGAGAAAGGGCTCCATAAACATTAGCTTTTATTATTGCCATTGTTATCATTCCTCTCTCCAAATCCACCTATAAAAGAGACAATAACACCACCCCTCTAGGCATAAATGCCACAGGACCAAGCAATTGGCTTATATGATGTGGTCCATAGCCAGCGTGTGTGAGCTCTGGGTTTCAGGACAGGCATAAAATAACTCAGTCTTACACTAATAGAACTTCTACGTCCAGCAAATTCAGATCCTCGCCAATCCTGTGACGTGAAGAGACAAGGAGGAAGAATTCGTAGGACAAAAAAGAAGAAAACCATAAAAGTCCCAGTTCTTTTCTCCTAGGTTCTAAATCACAATGACTCCCAAAGGACAATCTCCATTGTCTGATGGTACATGGAAGGTATTATTTACCACTTTACAGGATACTTTGACATCAATGGGGAGCGCACTGACTCTCCCTATATGATTTATGAAGCATAATTTAAAAAAAAAAAACAACTACATGAACAGTTATCAGGCCCCTGATACTAATTAATACATTCTAGCATCTTATAAATTACAGTCTCTTGAAACGAAGTTAATTTTCAGCATTTTTAAACACCCAATATCTAAACAAAAATAAATATCCAAAAGTTGAATCTGCTTTTCAAATATGATGTCTAAATTTGGTTAAGAAAGTCATATAACTATAGCAATAAGAGAATCCACATAAATAAATAGAGCTTTCTTATTTGGCTATTCCTGATTGATTTCTGTCTCCTCTAATTTTTCTGTGTGTATTTCTGAATCTTTTCATGATATCTGGGCAATATCAATTTCACAGTTACCATGTTCTTTGGTTTATAATTTAACAGGTCATTCACTCAATAGTGAGTAAATGTCTACATTGTGCCTTGAACAACGTTACAGACAAAATTCAGCCGTCCTAAACTAGTTGTTCTCAGACTTTAACACCCATCAGAATGACATGGAAGGCTCATAAAAACGCAGATTGTTGGGGCCGGCCCAGTGGCGCACTGCGCTAGTGCGCCGCTTGGGAAGTGTGGTGGCGCTCC